CCAAATGCCCATCAACGATAGACTGGATAGGGAAAATGTGGCACATATACACCATGGAATACTATGCAGCCATCAAAAACGATGAGTTTGTGTCCTTTGTAGGGACATGGATGAACCTGGAAACCATCATTCTCAGCAAACTGACAGAAGGGCAGAAGATCAAACACCGCATGTTCTCGCTCATAGGCGGGTGTTGAACAATGAGAACACATGGACACAGGGAGGGGAGCACTACACACTGGGGTCAGTTGGGGGGAAATAGGGGAGGGACGGTGGGGGGTGGGAAGTTGGGGAGAGATAGCAAGGGGAGAAATGCCAGATATAGGTGATGGGGAGGAAGGCAGCAAATCACACTGCCACGTGTGCTCCTATGCAACAATTTTGCATGTTCTTCACATGTACCCCAAAACCTAAAATGCAATAAAATAAATAAATGGGAAAAAAAAAAGAAAAACGAAAACATAGTAGCAAAAAAAAAAAATTGACTTAAAACAAGCATGTCACAGGTAAAATGGGGGTCAAACTATGAAAGGGTTTTATATGTGTTGCACCCAAGGTCAACACAAACATTTTATTTTATTTTCATTGTTGAGCATATTTAGCTCTTGTAATTAGACAAAAATAATTAAATCCTATTCATTACACTCAAAAAAAAAAAAAAAAAAGAAGAAATGGATAAATTTCTGGACACACACACCCTCCCAAGACTAAACCAAAGAGAAGTTGAATCCCTGAAAAGACCAATAAAAAGTCTAAAATTGAGGCAGTAATTGATAGCCTACTGACCAAAAAAAGCCGAGGACCAGATAGATTCAAAGCCAAATTCTACCAGAGGTACAAAGAGTAGCTGGTAGCATTCCTTCCGAAACAATTCCAAACAATAGAAAAAGAGGGACTCCTCCCTAACTTAGTTTATGAGGCCAGCATCATCCTAATACTGAAAGCTTGCAGAGACACAAGAAAAGAAAATTTTAGGCCAATATTTTTGATGAACACGAATGGGAAAATCTCCAATAAAATACTGGCCAATCGAGTCCAGCAGCACATCAAAAAACTTATCCACCATGATCAAGTTAGTTTCATTTCTGGGATGCAAGGCTGGTTCAACATATGGAAATCAATAAACGTAATCCATCACATGAACAGATCCAAGGAGAAAAATCACATAATTATCTCAACTGATGCAGAAAAGACCTTCAATAATATTCAACAGCCCTTCATAATAAAACCTCTCAATAAACTAGGTTTTGATGGAGTGTATCTCAAAATAATAAGAGCTATTTATGACAAACCCAAAACCTATCATACCGAATGAGCAAAAGCTGGATGGATTCCTTTTAAAAACCGGCATAAGGGCTGGGTGTGGTGGCTCACTCCTGTAATCCCAGCACTTTGGGAGACCGAGGTGGGTGCACGATGAGGTCAGGAGTTTGAGACCAGCCTGATCAACACAGTGAAACCCCGTCTCTACTAAAAATACAAAAGTTAGCTGCACCTGGTGGCATACGCCTGTAATCCCAGCTACTCAGGAGGCTGAGGCAGGAGAATCACTTAAACTCGGGAGGCAGAGGTTGCAGTGAGCTTAGACCATGCCACTGCATTCCAGCCTGGGTGACAAAGCGAGACTCTGTCTCAGGAAAACAAAAACAAAAACAAAAAGCTAGCATTAGAAAAAGATGCCCTGTCTCACCATTCCTATTCAATACAGTATTGGAAGTTTTGGCCAGGGCAATCAGTTAAGAGAAAGAAATAAAAGGCATTCAAATAAGAAGAAAGGAAGTCAAATTGTCTTTGTTCACAGATGACATGATTGTATATTTAGAAAACCCCATCATCTCAGCCCAAAGTCTCCTTAAGCTGATAAGCAACTTCAGCAATGTCTCAGGATACAAAATCAATGTGCAAAAATCACAAACATTCCTATACACAAATAAGAGACAAACAAAGAGCCAAACCATGGTGAACTCTCATTCACAATTGCTATAAAGAGAATAAAAGACCTAGGAATACAACTTACAAGGGACGTGAAGGACCTCTTCAAGGAAGACTACAAACCACTACTCAAGGAAATAAGAGAGGACACAAACAAATGGGAAAACATTCCATGCTCATGGATAGGGAGAATTAATATGGTGAAAATTACCAATCTGCCCAAATAATTTATAGATTCAATGCTATCCCCATCAACCTACCATTGACTTTCTTCACAGAATTGGTAAAAACTATTTTAAATTTCATATGGAACCAAAAAAGAGCCTGTATAGCCAAAACAATCTGAAGAAAAAAGAACAAAGCTGAAGGCATCATGCTATCTGACTTTAAACTATACTACAAAGCTACAGTAACCAAAACACTATAGTACTGGTACCAAAACAGATAGATAGACAAATGTAACAGAATAGAGGCCTTCAGAAATAATGCCACACATCTACAACCATCTGATCTTTGACAGATCTGCTAAAAACAAGCAATGGCCAAAGAAGTTTCTAATTAATAAATGGTGTTGGGAAAACTGGCTATCCATATGGAGAAAACTGAAACTGAACCTCTTCCTTACACCGTACACAAAAACTAACTCAAGATGGATTGAAAACTTAAATATAAAATCCAAAACCATAAAAACCCTAGACGAAGAGCTAGGCAATACCATTCAGGACATAAACATGGGCAAAGATTTAATGACTAAAACACTAAAAGCAATGGCAACAAAAGCCAAAACTGACAAATGGGATCTCATTAAACTAAAGAGCTTCTGCACAGCAAACAAACAAACAAACAAACAAAACAAAACAAAACAAAATCTATTATAGAGTGAAGAGACAACCTACAGAATGGAAGAAAAATTTTGCAATCTATCCATCTGACAAAAGGCTAATATCCAGAATCTACAAAGAACTTAGACAAATTTACAAGAAAGAAACAAACAACCCCATCAAAAATTGGGCAAACAATACGAATAGAAACTTCTCTAAAGAAGACATTTATGCAGCCAAAAAACATATGAAAAAAGCTCATTATCACTGGTCATTAGAGAAATGCAAATCATAACCACAATGAGATACCATCTCATGGCAGTTAGAATGGCAATAATTACAAAGTCAGGAAACAACAGATGCTGGAGAGGATGTGGAGAAATAGGAATGCTTTTATACTTTTGGTGGGAGTGTAAATTAGTTCAACCACTGTTGAAGGATCTAGAACCAGAAATAACATTTGACCCAGCAATTCCATTGTGGGGTATATACCCAAAGGATTATAAATCACTCTACTATTAAGACACATGCACATGTATGTTTGTTGCAGCATGGGTCACAATAGCAAGGACTTGGAACTAACCCAAATGCCCATCAATGATAAACTGGATAAAGAAAATGTGGCCCATATGCACCACGGAATACTACATAGCCATACAAGTGGATGAGTTTTTGTCCTTTGCAGGGACACGGATGAAGCTGAAAACCATCTTTCTCAGCAAACTAGCACAGGAACAGAAAACCAAACACTGCATGTTCTCACTCATAAGTGGGAGTTAAACAATGAGAACACATGGACACAGGGAGGGGAACATCACACACCAGGGCCTGTCAGGGGGTGGGCAGCTAGGGGAGGGATGGGATTAGAAAAAATACCTAAGGTAGATGACAGATTGATGGATGCAGCAAATCACCATGGCACATGTATACCTAATTAACAAACCTGCAAGTTCTGCACATCTGTTTCTGAAGTTAACATATAATTTAAAAAATATAAAAAAGAAAATAAAAAGCTATTTTTTGAAAAGATAAACAAAATAAATAGACTATTAGTGATAGTAACCAAGAACAAAGAAGATCCAAGTAAGCTCAATTAGAAATGAAATTGGAGATATTACAACTGATACCACAGAAATTCAAAAGATTATTTGGGCTATTATGAACACCTTTACACATACAAACTAGAAAATCTAGAGAATATGGAAAAATTTCTTGAAATATACAACATTCTTAGATTAAATCAGAAAGAAATAGAAACTCTGAACAGACTGATAACAAACAGTGAGATAGAATAAGTGATTTAAAAAATGCCAACAAATGGTTGGAGTGTAAATTAGTTCAACCATTGTGGAAGACAGTGTGGCAATTCCTCAAGGATCTAGAAATAGAAATACCATTTGACCCAGCAATGCCATTACTGGGTATATACCCAAAGGATTATAAAACATTCTATTATAAAGACACATGCACATTTATGTTTATTGCAGCGGTGTTTACAATAGCAAGAACTTGGAACCAACCCAAATGCCCATCAATGAGAGATTGGTTAAAGAAAATGTGGCACATATACACCATGGAATACTATGCAGCCATAAAAAAGGATGAGTTCATGTCCTTTGCAGGGACATGGATGAAGCTGGAAACCATCATTCTCGGCAAACTGACACAAGAACAGAAAACCAAACACCGCATGTTTCTCACTCATAGGCAGGTATTGAACAATGAGAACACATGGACACGGGGAAGGGAACATCACACACCAGGGCTTGTTGGGGCATCGGGTGGGGGGCTAGGGAAGGGATAGCAAGGGGTGGGGGAGTTGGGGAGGGCTAACAATTCAGAGAAATACCTAATGTACATGACGGGGGGATAGATAAATCACCATGGCACATGTATACCTATGTAACAAACCTGCACATTCTGCACATGTACCCTAGAACTTAAAGTACAATAAAAAAAATGCCAGCAAAAAAGTCCATGACCAGATAGGTTCGAAGCTGAATTCCATCAGACATTCAAAGAAGAATTAGTATCAATCCTAGTGACACTATTCCAAAAGGTAGAGAAAGATCCTCCATAAATCATTCTATGAAGCCAGTATCACCCTATTACCCAAACCAGGAAAAAAACACAACAAAAAAGAAAACTACAGATCAATGTCTCTGATGAACATAGATACCAAAATTCTCAATGAAATACTAGCTAACTGAATTTGACAGCATATAAAAATAATATATCATGATCAAGTGGGTTTTATAACAGGGATGCAGAAATGGTTTAATATACAGGTCAATAAATGTGATACATCACATAAACAGAATTAAAACCAAATATTATGTGATACTTACAATAAACACACAAACATACACAAAAACACTTTATGAAATCCAGCATTTCTTCATAATAAAAACCTTCAACAAAATAGGCATAGAAGGGACACATCTCAAAATAATAAAAGCCATGTTTTACAAACCCATGGCCAACATTATACTCAATGGGGAAAAGTTGAAAGCGTTCTTTTTGAGAACTGGAAGAAGACAAGAATGGCCACTTTCACTACTTATATTCAACACAGTACTGGAAATTCTTGTCAGGGCAATCAGACAAAATAAACAAATAAAGCACATCCAAATTGGAAAAAAGAAAATCAAAGTGTCATATTTCACCAGTGATATGATTATGTATCTAGAAAATCCTAAAGACACATCCAAAAAGCTCCTAGATACCAGGCACAGTGGTTTGTATCTGTAATCCCAGCACTTTCAGAGGCTAAAGTGGGAGGATCACTCAGCCCGAGCAACATGGTAAAACCCTGTCTCTAAAAAAAATACAAAAATGACCTGAATATGGTGGTGCATACCTGTGGCCCCAGCTACCGGAGAGACTAAAGTAGAAAGATTGCTTAAGCCTAAGAGAGAGAAGTTGCAGTGAGCTGAGGTGGTGCCACTGCACTCCAACCTAGGTGACAGTGACACCCTATCTCACATAAACAAACAATCCCCCCCACAGCTCCTAGATCTGATAATGGAATTCAGGAAAGTCTCAGGATACAAAATCAAGGACACAAATCAGTGGAACTGGTAAACACCAACAATGATCAAGCTAAGAATAAAGTCAGAAACTCAATCCTTTTTAAAAATAGCTGCAAAAAACAATACTTAAAATATACTGAACTAAGGAGGTAAAAGATCTCTACAAGGGAAACTGCAAAACACTGTTGAAAAAAATCATAGATAACACAAACAAATGGAAACACATCACATGCTGATGAGTTGAAAGAATCAATACCTTGAAAATGGCCACACTTCCCAAAGCAATCTACAGATTCAATGCAATTTCCATCAAAATACCATTGCTATTCTTCAATCTTTATTTTTCATTCTTACCACATGCTGGGTTATCTTATGCTGGATTTTTGTTTTTTCTAGAGAACTAGAAAAAACAATTCTAAAATTTATATGAAACCCAAAAGGACCCCACATAGCCAAAGCAATACTAAGCACCCCCCCACACACACAAAAAAACACCAAAAAGCCCAAAACAACAAAACTGAACAATCTGCCCCTGAATGATTACTGGATATATAAAAAAATTAAGGTAGGAATAAATAAGTTCTTTGAAACCAATGAGAACCAAGACAAAATGTACCAGAATCTCTGGGACATAGCTAAAGCAGTGTTTAGAGGAAAAATTATAGCACTAAATCCCACAGAAAAAAGTGGGAAAGATCTAAAATCTACACCCTAACATCACAGTTAGAAGAACTAGAGAAGCAAGAGCAAACAAATTCAAAGGCCAGCAGAAGACAAGAAATACCTAAGATCAGAGCAGAACTGAAAGAAATAGAAACAAGAAAAAAACCTTAAAAAAAAATCAATGAATACAGGAGCTGTTTTTTGATTGATTGTTTGTTTTTTTTTTAAAGACAAACAAGGTAGCCACTTTGCCTTCTGCTGCACCTTGTTCCAGGCCCCTTGGTCTGGAGACTGTGGCCTCAGACTGAAGTGAGGAGTAGGTGGCCCCACAAAAGTGTCAGAGATGGCTTTGGATTTCCAGTTGTGTGGGCTCTTGTCTGGCTCCTGAAACCTGCTGGAGAGGTGTATCAATCCCAACTGGTGAACTACTGAGAGGAAGCTACACAAAAGGGCAGCAAGTGTTGAGGACTTCCACCAAGATGGTCGACTAGAGACAGCTCTGGAGCAGAGTTCCCAGCAAAAGTGATGCAGAAGGTGAGTGATCTCTGCATTTCCAACCAAGGTGCCAGGATCATCTCAATGGGACTGGATGGACAGTGGGTGTAGCCCAAGGAGGGCAAACTGAGACAGGGTGGGGTGCTGCCTCACCTGGGAAGTGCAACTGGCCAGAAGACCCCCTCCTACCCAATGGAGGCCATCGGGGACTTATCTGGCCACTCTGGCACTCCAGTTCAGATACTGTGCTTCTCCCATGGTCTTTACAGCCTGCAGACCAGGAGATTTTCCCTAGGTTGTCAAGTGCCATGGGTTAACAGCACAAATATGAGCGGCCATTTCAGCCAGTGCCATGGGTTTTGGCTGGTACCGGGAAGGCCTGCGAGATAGACCCTCCCACTCCCCAGAAAAAAAGGGGAGCTGAAGGCAGGGAGCCAAGTGATCTGGCCCAGTGGGCCCCCCCCCCACCATAAAGACCAGCAAACTGAAACCCTCTGGCTCGAGAGTTTTACAGCCAGCACAGCAGTTTGAGCTGGACATGGGATGATTGAGCTCAGTGAGGGGAAGGGCATTTGCCATTGCTGAGGTGGTTCTAACCATACCTGTGTAAACAAAGTTGCAATGAAATTTACACAGCAGTTGAACTGAGCCTGCAGCAGCTCAGCAGTGCCTTTGCAGACAGACTGTGACTAGACTACCTTTTTGTTGGGCAAGGCATCTCTAAAAAAAAGGCAGCAGCGAATCAGAAACTTATAAATAAAACCCCACCTTCCTTCCTGGGACAGAGCACCTGGGAAAAGGGGCGGTTGTGAGTTCCACTGAAGCAGACTTAAACGTTCCTGCCCAGCAGCTCTAAAGAGAGCAACGGAGCTCCCAGCACAGCACTTGAGCTCTGATAAGGGACAGATTGCCTCCTCAAGCGGCTCCCTGACCCCCATATATCCAAAAAGACACCTCATATAGGAGAGCTCTGACTGACATCTGGTGGGTACCCTTCTGGGACAAAGCTACAAGAGGAAAGAACAGGCAGCAATCCTTGCTGTTCAGTAGCCCCTGTGGGTGATTCCCAGGCAAGCATGTCTGGAGTGGACCTCCAGCAGTCCTACAGCAGAGGGGCCTGATTGTTAGAAAGAAAACTAAAAAAAAAGAGAAAGAAATAGCTCCCACATCAACAGAAGGATATCCACTCAGAGATCCCTTGTGAAAGTCACCAATTTCAAAGACAAAATGTAGATAAATCCATGAAGATGGGAAGAAACCAGTGCAAAAAGGATGATATCACCAAAAACCAGAATGCCTCTCCTCCTCCAAGGGATCACAACTCCTCACCAGCAAGGAAACAAAACTAAATGGGGAATGAGTTTGATGAATTGACAGAAGAAGGCTTCAGAAGGTGGATAATAACAAACTTCTCTGAGTTAAAAGACCATGTTCGAACCCAGGGCAAAGAAACTAGGAACCTTGAAAAAAGGTTAAATGAAATTCTAACTAGAATAACCAGCAGAGAAGAACATAAATGACTTGATGGAGCTGAAAAACACAGCATGAGAGCTTCACGAAGCATACACAAGTTTCAATAGCTGAATCAATCAAGCAGAAGAAAGGATATCAGAGATTGAAAGGAAACTCAATGAAATAAAATGAGAAGGCAGGACTAGAGAAAAACAGTGAAAAGAAATTAACAAAGCCTCCAAGAAATATGGGATTATGTGAAAAAACCTAATCTACATTTGATTGGTGTACCTGAATATGACAGGGAGAATGAATCCAAGTTGGAAAAAGCACCTCAGGGTATTACCCAAGAGAACTTCCCCAACCTACCAAGGCAGGCTAACATTTAAATCCGGGAAATACAGAGAACACCACAAAGATATTCCTTAAGAAGAGCAACCCCAAGGCACATAATTGTCAGATTCCTCAGGGTTGAAATGAAGGAAAAAATGCTAAGGACAGCCAGAGAGAAAGGCTGGGTTACCCACAAAGGGAAGCCCATCAGACTCACAGCAGATCTCTCAGCAGAAACCCTACAAGCCAGAAGAGAGTGGGGGCCAATATTCAACATCCTTAAAGAAAAGAACTTGCAACCCAGAATTTCATATCCAGCCAAACTAAACTTCATAAGTGAAGGAGAAATAAAATCCTTTATGGACAAGCAATTGCTGAGAGATTTTGCCACCACCAGGCCTGCCTTACAAGAACTCCTGAAGGAAGCACTAAGCATGGAAAGGAACAACCAGTACCAGTCACTGCAAAAATGTACCAAATGGTAAAGACCATTGACACAATGAAGAAACTGCATCAACTAATTGACAAAACAACCAGCCAGTAACAAAATGGCAGGATCAAATTCACACATAACAATATTAACCTTAAATGTAAACAGGCTAAATGCTCCAATCAAAAGACACAGACTGCCAAACGGGATAAAAAGTCGAGGCCCTACAGTGTACTGTATTCAGGAGACCCATCTCACATGTAAAGACACACATAAACTCAAAATAAAGGGATGGAAGAAGATTTGCCAAGCAAATGGAGAGAGAGAGAGAGAGAGAAAAAAAAGCAGGAGTTTCAATACTAGTCTCTGATAAAACAGATTTTAAACCAACAAAGATCAAAAGAGACAAAGAAGGGCATTACATAATGGTAAAAGGATCAATGCAACAAGAAGAGCTAATGATCCTAAATATATATGCACCCAATGCAGGAGCACCCAGATACATAAAGCAAGGCCTTAATGACCTACAAAGAGACTTCCACACAACAATATTGGGAGACTTTAACACTCCACTGTCAATATTAGACAGATCAACGAGACAAAAAATCAACAAGGGTATCCAGGACTTGAACGCAGATCTGGACCAAGCAGACCTAATAGACATCTACAGAACTCTCCACCCCAAATCCACAGAATATACATTTTTTTCTCAGCACCACAACACACTTACTCTAAAATTGACCACATAATTGGAAGTAAATCACTCCTCAGCAAATGCAAAAGAATAGGCATTATAACTAGTTTCTCAGACCACAGTGCAATCAAATTAGAACTCAGTATTAAGAAACTCACTCAAAACTGCAAGACTACATGGAAACTGAACAACCTGCTCCTGAATGACTACTGGATAAATTATGAAATGAAGGCAGAAATAAAGGTGTTCTTTGAAACCAATGAGAACGAAGACACAATGTATCAGAATCTCTGGTACACATTTAAAGCAGTATCTAGAGGGAAATTTATAGCACTAAATGCCCACATGAGAAGTGAGAAAAGATCTAAAATTGACACCCTATAATCACAATTTAAAAAACTAGAGGAACAAGATCAATAAAACTCAAAAGCAAGCAGAAGACAAGAAATAAGATCAGAGCAGAACTGAAGGAGATGGAGACATAAAAACTCCTTCAAAAATTCAAGAAATCCAGAAGCTGTTTTTTTGAAAAGATCAACAAAATAAATAGACTACTAGTCAAACTAATAAGAAAGAAAAGAGAGAAGAATCAAATAGATGCAATAAAAAATGATAAAGGGGATATCACCACCAATTCCATAGAAATACGAACTACCATCAGAGATTACTACAAATACCTCTATGCACATAAACCAGTAAATCTAGAAGAAATGGATAAATTCCTGGACACTTACACCATCCAAAGACTGAACCAGGAAGATGAATCCTTGAATAGACCAATAACAAGGTCTGAAGTTGAGGCAGCAATTAATAGCCTACCACCAAAAAAAAGTTCCAGGTCCAGACAGGTTCACAGCCACATTGTACCAGACATACAAAAAGGAGCTGGTACTACTCCTTCTGAAACTATTCCAAACAATACAAAAAGAAGAAATGCTCCCTAACTCATTTTATGAGGCCAACATCGTCCTGATACTGAAAACTGGCAGAGACACAACTAAAAAACAAAACTTCAGGCCAATATCCATGATGAACATAGATGCAAAAATCTTCAATAAAATGCTGGCAAACTAAGGCACCAGCACATCAAAAAGCTTATTTATCACAATCAAGTAGGCTTCATCCAGGGATGCAAGGCTGGTTAACATACACAAATCTATAAACGTAATCCATCACATAAAGAGAGCCAAAGACAAAAACCACATGATTATCTCAATAGATGAAGAAAAGGCCTTCGACAAAATTCAATAGCTCCTTATGCTAAAAACTCTCAATAAACTAGATATTGCTGGAATGTATCTCAAAATAATAAAAGCTATTTATGACAAACCGACAGCCAATATTATACTAAATGGGCAAAAACTGGGAGCATTCCATTTGAAAACTGGTGCTAGACAAGGCTGCCCTCTCTCATCATTCCTATTCAACATAATACTGAAAGTTTTAGTCAGAGCAAACAGGAAAGAAAAGAAATAAAGGGTATTCAAATATAAAAAGAGGATGTTAAATTGTCTCTATTTGCAGGCAACATGATTGTATATTTAGAAGGCCCCATTGTCAAAGCCCAAAATCTCCTTAAGATGATAAGCAACTTCAGAAAACTCTCAGGATACAAAATCAATGTGCAAAAATCACAAGCATTACTATTCACCAATAACAGAGTGCTAAATCATGAGCAAAATTTCATTCACAATAGCTACAAAGAGAATACAATACCTAGGAATACAACTAACTATGAATGTGAAGGACCTCTTCAAGGAGTACTACAAACCACTGCTCAGGGAAATAAGAGAGGACACAAACAGATAAAAAAACATTCCATGCTCATGGTTAGGAAGACTCAAAATTGTGAAAATGGCCATACGGCCCAAAGTCATTTATAGATTCAATGCTATCCCCATCAAGCTACAATTGACCTTCTTCAAAGAACTGGAAAAAAACACCTTAAACTTCATATGGAACCAAAAAGAGCCTGCATAGCCAAGACAATCCTGAGCAAAAAGAACAAAGCTGGAGGCATTACACTACCTGACTTCAAACTACACTACAAGGCTACAGTAATCAAAACAGCATGTTACTGCTATCGAAACAGAGATATAGACCAATGAAACAGAACAGAGGCCTTGGTAGTAACACCACACATCTACAACCATCTGATTTTGACAAACCTGACAAAAACTAGCAATGGCAAAAGGAGTTTCTATTGAATAAATGGTGTTAGGAAAACTGGCTAGCCATGTGCAGAAAGCTGAAACTGAACCCCTTCCTTACATCTTATACAAAAATTAACTCCAGATGGTTAAAGATTTAAACACAGGACCTAACACCCTAAAAACCCTAGAAGAAAACCTAGGTGATACCACTCAGGACATAGGCATAGGCAAAAACTTCATGACTAAAACACCAAAAGAAATGGCAACAAAAGCTAAAATAGACAAATGGAATCTAATTAAACTTAAGAGCTTCTGTACAGCAAAAGAAACCATCATTAGAGTGAACTGACAACCAACAGAATGGAAAAAAATATTTGCAAGCTACCCATCTGACAAAGGGCTAATATTCAGAATCTACAAAGAACTAAAACAAATTTATAAGAAAAAGAAAATAAACCCAGCCCCATCAAAAAGTGGGCAAAGGATACGAACACATACTTTTCAAAAGAAGACATTTATGCAACCAACAAACATATGAAAAAATGCTCATCATCCCTGGCCATTGGAAAAATGCAAATCAAAACCACATTGAGATACCATCTCGTGCCAGTTAGAATGGTGATCATTAAAAAATCCGGAGATGGCAGATGCTGGAGAGGATGTGGAGAAATAGGAACACTTTTACACTGTTGGTGGGAGTGTAAATTAGTTCTGTCATTGTGGAAGACAGTGTGGCAATTCCTCAAGGATCTAGAACTAGAAGTACCATTTGACCCAACAATCCCATTACTGGGTATATACCCAAAGGAGTATAAAACATTCTATTATAAAGACACGCACACATATGTTCACTGCAGTACTTTTTACAAGACCAAAGACTTGGAACCCAACCAAATGCCCATCAGTGATAGACTGGATAAAGAAAATGTGGCACATGTATACCATGGAATACTATGCAGCCATAAAAAGGATGAGTTTATGTCCTTTGCAGGGACATGGATGAATCTGGAAACCATCATTCTCAGCAAACTGATACAAGAACAGAAAACCAAACACTGCATGTTCTCACTTATAGGCAGGTGTTGAACAATGAGAACACATGGACACAGAGAGGGGAACATCATACTCTGGGGTATGTTGGGGTGTGGGGATCTAGTGGAGGGATAGTGGGGGGTGGAGAGATTAGGGAGGGATAACATTGGGAGAAATACCT